GGGGGGGGAAGCAAAGGAGGGGCCGCTGTGTTGACTCTGTGTCCCCGTGGACTGGAAGTGGCACGTGGCTCGTCTGCTTACTCGAGGGAGGCAGTGGGGACGTGACGCTGCTGTGTGGCTGCTGTATTTCTGGCCGGCTCGGTGCCCTGATGACCCCTGGGAAGAGCTCACAAATAACCGGGGATGAGACCTGCGCCCTCCTTAGCCGCTGCACACGCTGTCGCAGAGAAAGAGGTCTTGGCCGGTAGGGAGAACTTGTCCAGATACATCCCAGCTTGGCCAGCTCTGCGGTGAAAGGCCACTTTATTCCTGGAAGGCAGTGACTGTAGGGTCTGGTCGCCGCGGGACAGTAAAATCATTTCACCCGGGTGCGGTTAGCGCTGAACTCCATAGGCCACACGCACGCAGCCAGGCGGTGAGCAGAGGGAACCAAGAGCAGTGGATCTGAAGCTTGGATTTCTCAGCGGTTCATTCCTGGCCCCCCCCCCGCCCAGGAGCATAACACAGCAGTTATATCACTTACTAAGTTCAGAGACCAAAATTCAAGGGCAGGGGCCTTGGTGAGAATACAAGGAGCCTTGTTAAAGGCTGGGCGTGCCGAAGGGCGGACCGCAGCGCAGAAAGGGGTTCGGGAAGGACTCAAGGTGGGCCAGCCGGGCGTACTGGCCGGGGCCCTAGGCTGTCTGCTGAGGTGGGGTTCGCAGGCCTCGTTTTAAATGGGCCCGTGGTGTCTGCCTTACCTTTTCGGCACCAGATGGCCGCTCTGATGGGACTATGATCGGTAGTCACAGCTGGTTTCAAAGGGCCTCTTGGTCTGCGTTCCCTGCTCCTCATAGAAGTGATGACTTCTACAGGCTTTCCCCACGAATCCTTTTTTGACAACTCCAGAATAACATTTTCCAAATTTCACTCGCGTGCTACAGTCACAGTGTCTGTCTAATCGGAGAACCACGTGTCCCATTAATATATTTTTTAATGGCCTCATTTTTCCTAAATACCCGCTCTTGCCTCGCCCTAAGCAGTAATATCCACGGAATCCGGGCTCCGAGGGGCTATTTCCAGTTTTCTGGCCCATTACATAAACACATAGCTGCGTACAGACGCTCCCCCGTCTACATTGCAGCCGCCTCACGTTCTCATTTCCACTAGTGACGAGCGGCCCTCTGTGGTGGTGAAGGTAGGAGGTGGTAACATCGCACGTCACACATGTGCACACCCTGTTCACACTGTCACCTCCAGGGTGCCATGAACATGGCACACAGAACCCCTGCTGCTTCTAGAATAACTCTGACCTGCACCCCCAGATTTTTCGTTCATACCGTGACTTGATTTGCTCCCCGCCGCGTTTGCTGCTGTGTGTCCCCCCCCCAGGCGTTGCGAAAACCCGTCAGGTGCGCGCCCAGGGGCGGGAGCTCACTGCTCTCTTTCCTTCCGGAAGGTTTAGCTTCTTCTCCCGAGATAAGAAGCGCCTGGCCAACACGCAGAGGACCGTGCACATCCAGGAGTCCTTCGGCCAGTGGGCCAACGCCCACCGCGACGACGGATACACCGAGCAAGGACAGGAGGCCCTGCAGCACCTGTGACCGCGGCCCGCCTGCGCCCTCCGCCGCCTGACCCGGCCGCCGCCAGTGCCCGCGACGGGACCTGGCAGCCCAGGTGTCACTGCCCTGCCCACCTGTCGGGTCAGGCGTCCCTCGAACAGACTGTCCGCTTTGAGGAAGCACATTGAAGTACTGTTGCCAAACTCCAGAGATGTTTATTTATACCCGGGCCCTCGCCTTTTATAATAGATGACTTGGACCCCTTAGGATACGTATTTAACAAGACCGTGCGTGGAGGCCAGGCCTTTGCATTAACTCCCGCAGCACAAGCTTCTTTAAGCCAAATACACCACTTGCCACTTTGTACCTGCAGTGTGACTGCTCCTGTGAAACTCTGGGCGGAGGTTTTGTGATCACATCTGTCACCTTAAGTGGGAGCGGTAGGTTTTCATTCGTCGCCTTCGTGGAATTGTCGTGGCGGAAGCACCCACATAGGATGGGGTCCACTGGACAAGCAGGGCCTCCGAAACCCAACGGAAAATACGGACAACAGGCCTCCGTCCCGGGAGCCGGGGACGGCCTTGCGGGAGCCAGTGTTCCCCTCTCGCCCCGTTACTGATAGTGCCTGGAGCCTGGAGCCTAGAGCGACGCCCAGGGCCGGTGCCTTGGGACCCGCTGTGAGTCGCTCAGTACTAACCTAACAGAGTTGCTAAGGGTGAGCTTGCCGTGTCTCTCGTGTGGATTTTTTTTTTTTTTAACTTGGCATCTTTTTTCCTTTTAGCCTTTGCTGTGTTAAATATTTAAGTCTTCTGCAAAGAAGACAAAGCAGATTGAGACCAAGGGAGCCTGGGGGCTGGTGGCTGGGGGTGGGGGAGACTTGCCGGAGCAGGGGTGGTGGTTGAGAAGATGGCTTTGGGGACGGAATGCCTGGCTGACTCACGGGGCTGCTGTGGCAGATGGGGAGCCAGGCTGGGTGCGCGTGGATTGAGAGAGGTGGCATTTCCTCTCACAGAGCCCAGTGACCGGGACACTTTTTCACACACTCGACTGGGGTTTGCTGAGAAACAAACCATCGGGTCAGTTTCTGGTCTCGGGACCCTGTTTCTAGATGGCTGGACAGAGTGATCAGACGGGATAGTGCTGCCGTAGAGCATGGTTCTCAGTGCTGACTCCCCGTTAGAATTATGAGTTTATTCCCAGAGGGTCAAAGCCTGTGGACCGAGGAATCCCCTGCCTGCCCCCCCCCCCGCCACCTTTAGTTGCCCTAGTGGGGGCAACCAATATTGTCAGTTTCTCAGGAGTCTTTCTTGAAATAGTTTATAAATATGTGAGCAGCCATGTGAAAACAAAACGTCTATTTCTACTCTTTGACATTGATGCCAGCACGTCCTGTGCAGGCTGTTCTGATCTCCCTTAGAATACCCCGGAGGTGACTGCGTGTCAGTATACACACAGTGGGTCTCAGCCACAGGTGGTTTTGCCCCCTGGGGACATCTGGCAACCTCTGGAGACATTTGGGGTTGATACGAGGGGTGTTTGGGGGTGCTACCGTCATCCAGTGGGCAGGCTCCAGGGATGCTGTTGAACACCCTGCAATGCCAGGACGGCCCCTGCAACAAAGATAGCCAGCCCCGGATGTGAGCAGTGCTGGGTTTACCACGTATGTGTATTACTTGTCCGGGGCACATGGACGCAGATGGCCTCCTCCCAGTCCTTTCCTGTCCACGGTAGCATTGCACACTTGCACCCTTGTCCGTCTGACTGCAGAATGGCTGGGTCAGGGGGTGTATGCCTTTGTCATGCTGATGGCTGCTGCTAAGTCCCTGCCATGGGGGGTGTACCCTTTTTTAATTTTTTAAATGTTTTTACTGATTTGAGACAGAGAGGGAGGGAAATGGGGAGCGCGCGAAACATCAATCGGCTGCCTCCTGCACGGCCCCTGCTGGGGATCAAGCCCACAACCTGGGCACGTGCCCTGACTAGGAATCAAACCAGTGACCTCTTGGTGCCTGGGACGACGCTCGACCACTGAGCCACACCAGCCAGTGCTACCCCCCCCCTTTTT